GTAGCCTGTTGCTGAAACTCTGGTCCACGCCTTTATCACCTCAAGGCTGGACTATGGGAACTCTCTCCTCGCCGGCCTTCCCGGCACCTCCCTCCACACTGCAGGTCATTCAGAACTCTGCAGCTCGTGTACTGTCCCGCACCAGACACGGCGACCACATCACTCCCACCCTCGCTCGCCTCCACTGGCTCCCCATCCCCCAGAGGATCGAATTCAAGATGCTCACCCTCACCTACAAGGCCATTCACGGCCTTGCTCCCTCCTACCTCTCCGACCTACTATCCCCCTACCTACCTGCCCATACCCTCCGTTCCTCTGGCTCCGATCTGCTCCACATCCCCCGCCCCAACCGCCCTACGATCGGTGGCCGGGCCTTCAGCCTCTCAGCCCCTAGGCTCTGGAACTCTATCCCCCAGTGCCTTCGCCTTGCCTCCTCCCTTTCCTCCTTCAAGGCCGGTAGCTATGCTTTCTCTTTGACCGTGCCTTCAGCTCCCCTCTCGACTCTCTACCCCCTCCTCGCTCCCTCCCTTCCCTCCCCTCACCCTGACCATTTCCCCCCTGCTCGGGTCCTGACCCAACTGTACAGCGCCTCCCGACGTGAAAGGCACTCAATAAAGGGAATCTTGGTGTTGTTGTTGTTGTTGTTGATTGGAATTCATCCACTTTGCAACACAAGGTAAAATCAGAGGTAGAAGCACAAACCTGGAAGGAACTGTGGTGAGCAGAGCTGATGCTGGCTTGTTGGAGCAAGGGCTTATAACAATAAAAATAATCCTTGCATTTGAAATAGCGCCTAGACCAATTATTATATCTCACTGCTAATTGCACACACATGGAATGTACAGAACACTGACGGCTGCTCCTTTATGCCGAGAAAGTCCACCTGCGTCTAGAATTATTCTATTTTCTTAGCAATTTCTGAATTTGTTGAATTCGATCTTAAATTTGAAAATGGTTTAATGTCATTCTTCAAATAAAAACTTAAAGGAAAAGGGATTCAAAATAATGACTATTTAAGAATGCATCAAATTCTGGATGCTCTGAAATTATACATAAATAGAATAAGTCACTGAGTGGGGTGTCTATTTGAGTTCAAATCACTATCGCATGATAGCTTGTTGCATGCAAATCATTTACGCTGTTGTGCAAAGTAACTCAGCAGAGACATGCTATTGGAAATTCTTCTTCCCCTTTTGTGTTTAGCAATATCCAGTCTGATTTCACTCCACAAAAGCATTCTTGTCGATTTTGTTCCCTTCGTCCCCGAAGGACCTTTCCACAAGCAGAGAAGAAGAGCAGCTGATTATTGACAGCTGGCATGGTGGTGCAGCAGACACTTTACTTGGGCAAGTGTGTTCTTTCTTTAATATGGTTCCATTTAATTTACAAAGAACTAGCGATGGCATGCCCAACGCTCGATGCCAAGAGCTAACAATAGTGTAGTGCAGATGAGGCCTTAAACCACAGGGGGAGGAGAGGGATGGTGGGAAGCCAAGGGTATTTCTTCCCCTCGCCTCCACTGCATCATCGATGGGAAGGAACACCACTTTAATAATAATAATCCTTGCATTTGATATAGCACATTATCACATCTTTGAGATGTCTCAAAGCGCTTCACACAATATTGTATAAAGCAAATTCGCTGTATATTTAGTAGACAAAACGCAGAAGCCAATTGCACACAGCAGTGTCCCACAAACAGTCGTGAATTAAGTAACCAATTTTTTTTGAGGGATTATTAACCCTGGAAAAGCGATTTGCCCATCGACTTACAATTGGGTTTCTACTTGCTCCTGGTAAACAGAGAGGTGTGGAGTAAGGAAATTTTCCCAATGTTTCGCCCTGCCTGGGAATCAAACTCAGGTCCTCTCTTTTGCAAGGTGAGCGGTCTAACCACTAAGCTACAGGATTCTGTGACTGATAGTTCATGTCAAACAAATAATAATAATAATCCTTGCATTTGATATAGTGCCTAATCGCGTCTTTGAGACACCTCAAAGCGCTTGAAATGGATATAGTGGAGCATAGTGATTCCATTACCTTGTTGTACACTATGTGAGGCAAGGGGTGGGAGGTTCTAACTCAGACGGGCTTTACTCTGTCATGCTGCCGGAAGACTTATCTAAGAGCAACACTGACCTGTTAAAAGGTTCCTGATGCCTGAAATTCCACGTAGGCTTAGCTTATAGAACCATATTGTGTCAAAATTTAAGATCACACTGAAAATGTAGAAAATTCTTAAATTCATTGAATTCAGAAAAAAAATTGCTTTTAAAAACTGAAAATTTGGCTTCAGACTGAAATTTATATTTTTGCACAGTTCTGAGTGATTTTACAACAACAACAACAAGATTCCATTTATTGAGCGTCTTTCACGTCGGGAGGACGTCCCAAGGCGCTGTACAGTTGGGTCGGGACCCGAGCAGTCGGAAAATGGTCAGGTTGAGGGGAGGGAAGGGAGGAAGCGAGGAGGGGGTAGAGAGTCGAGAGGGGAGCTGAAGGCACGGTCAAAGAGAAAGGTCTTGAGCCCGGCCTTGAAAGAGGAAAGGGAGGAAGCAAGCGAAGGCACTGGGGGATGGAGTTCTAGGGGGTAGCTAGGGGGATAGTAGGTCAGAGAGGTAGGAGGGAGCAAGGCCGTGAATGGCCTTGTAGGTGAGGATGAGGATCTTGAATTCGAGTTGAATTTGAGTTGAATTCGAATTTAAAGTTTTAAGACAAAACAATGTGACAGGCCAAGAGCCGAGTGAAATTTAGGTCTCCTGGTCAGGTGGGGTGGGGTTGAGGCAGAACCATTAGGCAGAAGGAGGAGAAAACCAACAAGAGATAAGTTATTGCAGAATCATGAAAAACGTGGAGGTGATTGCAGCAAACTGTAAACCAAACTAAATTGAAACCTGATTTACCCTACGTATGCAGAAAATACTTTCTATATCAATGAAGATACATGTTGGGTTGCATTCCAACATGGCATAACTAAGAAAAAAATGTTTGTGTAAAAAAACTGTTAGTTTTCAGTTTGCTGCAGCCAATCATATTCCAGATTGAGGATATAAAAGTTGAGAGACTGCGTCCATACATCACGAGATTGCACAGAGCGGAGTCACTGAGGACAGAGATCACCTCATCTGATTCAAGATGCCAGTTGGTGAGTGTGGATACTGTATTAATTGTCAGTGAGGCTTACAGATTCATTTTCTTTTGATATAATAATAATCCCTGCATTTGATATAGCGCCTTATCACATCTTCGAGCTGTCTCAAAGCGCTTCACAGAATATACTGTAAACTGAATTGCTGTGTATTTTGTGGGCGACAAGCAGCAGCCAATTGCCCACATACAGTCGTGGATTGAGTGATCAAATTATTATTATTAGAATATATAGGAAGCAGGTAATTCAAGAACAACCAGTGGGAAGGACTGAAATAATAATAATAATAATAATAATCCTTGCATTTGATATAGCGCTTTTCACGTCGGGAGGACGTCCCAAAGCGCTTCACAGAACACACTGTAAAGTGAATTGACTGTATATTTGTGTAAATTTGAAAGTAGGAAAGATAGGAATACTAGGTAAATATTTAGGTGTCACGTTGTTTGGAATAGACTAGCAAAAGTGAATGTGGGTCTATTACAGGCAGAGACAGGAGGAATTATAATGGTGGATAAAGATATGGCAGAGTCATTAAACAAATACTTTGCTTCTGTCTTTACGTTAGAAGACACTGAAAACTTACCGAAAATAGAGGGTAACTAAGAAGCTAATCTTAGTGAGCAATTTAGGAAAATTAACATCAGTAAAGAATTAGTACAGGGGAAACTCCTGGGATTGAAAAATGACAAATCCCCTGGACTTGATGGCCTACATCCTAGGGTTTTAATAGAGGTGGCTGCTGAGATAGTGGATGTGTTCTTTTTAATCTTCCAAAATTCTCTGGATTCTGGAATGGTCCCCGTTGATTGGAAGATCGCAAACATAACACCATTATTTAAGAAGGGTGGGAGAGAGAAGATGGGGAACTATAGATCAGTCAATCTGACATCGGTGGTATGGAAAATTAGAATCCTTAATTAGGGACATCATAGTATGGTACTTAGAGGACCATAACATGATTAGGCAGAGTCAACATGGCTTTACAAAAGGAAAGTCATACTTAACAAATCTTTTAAAGTTTTTTGAGGATGTAACTAGCAAGTTAGATAGGGGGATCCAGTAGATGTAGTCTTTTTAGATTTTCATGAGGCATTCGACAAGGTGCCACATGAAAGGCTGCTACACAAGATTAGAGCCCATGGAATTAAAGGTAATATATTAGCATGGATTGAAGAGTGGCTAACGGGAAGAAAACAGAGAGTAGAGATAAACGGCTCCTTCTTAGATTGGCAAGATGTGACTAGTGGAGTGCCACAAGGATCAGTGCTTGGGCCTCAACTATTTACAATCTATAACAATGATCTACAACAACAACAAAATTCCATTTATAGAGCGCCTTTCATGTCAGGAGGACGTCCTAAGGCGCTGTACAGTTGGGTCAGGACCCGAGCAAGGGGGAAATGGTCAGAGTGAGGGGAGGGAAGGGAAGGAGCGTGGAGGGGGTAGAGAGTCGAGAGGGGAGCCGAAGGCTTGGTCAAAGAGAAAGGTCTTGAGACCGGCCTTGAAGAACGAGGACATAGAGCTTAAAATATCTAAATTCACCGATGATACTATGTGGGAGAGTAAGCTCTGAGGATGACACAAAAAGATTGCAAAGGGACATAGATAGGTTAGGTGAGTGGGCAAGAAGGTGGCAGATGGAATATAATGTGGGGAAGTGTGAAGTTATTCACCTAGGTAGTAAAAACAGAAAAGCAGATTATTTTCTGAGGGGGAGAGACTAGATAGTGTTAGTGTTCAGAGGATTTGGGTGTCCTTGTACACCAGTCACAAAAAGTTAGTATGCAGGTAATAGCAAGCAATTAGGAAGGCTACTGGCATGTTGGTGTTTATTGCAAAAGGGTTAGAATACAAGAGTAGGGAAGTCTTGCTGCAACTGTATAGGTGAGACTGCACCTAGAATATTGTGTGCAGTTTTGGTCTCCTTATTTAAGAAAGGACATACTCGCCTTAGAGGGGATGCAGCCTAGATTCACTAAGTTAGTTCCTGGGATGAGGGGGTTGACCTATGAGGATAAGTTGAGTAAACTAGGCCTAGATTCTCTAGAATATAGAAGAATTAGAAACATAAAAGATTCTTATGAGCCTCTACAGAGTAGATGGTGCAAGACTATTTCCCCTAGTAGGAAAATCTAGAACTAGGGGTCAGAGTCTTAAGATTAAGGCTCAGCCCTTTTGAACAGAGTTGAGGAAACACTTCTTCACTCAGAGGGTAGTGAATTTATGGAATTTTCTACCCTAGAAGTCTGTAGATGCTTAGTCCTTGAACATATTCAAGACTGAGATTGATAGATTTCTGAAGGATAGAGGGATTAAGGGATATGGGGATAAGGCGGGCAGATGGAGTTAGGTTAGAAGATCAGCCATGATCTTATTGAATGGCAGGGCAGGCTTGAGGGGCTGAATGGCCTATTCCTGTTCTTAATTCCTATGTTCCTATGAGTAGTTGAGGAGGGGAAAAATGACAGACTGTATTCAGCAATGCGCACCCAAATGCGTTGAAACCTGAGGAATCACAGTTTAAGTCGCAAGGGATCTTTTTCCAAAAGTGAGACAGTAATCGTGCCATCTCCTTTCCAATCAGCACTTTTTTGTGCCTCCATTGAGCGTTTATCCTTTATTTGAAGCACAGAAAATTCCAATCAGCAGCCCATAATATCAAAGGAGACACATGTGATGCTCACGGAAATTTTTGCCCCCCAAAAGTATTCGGTGTGACCCGTAATTCTATTAATCCTGTTCTATTCATTCTTTAAGTGAAATTGTTTTGTGTAGTGTTTTGGTATTTTCAAAAAAACAGGTCAAAAACAGTTGTCTAAAGATTATTGAGATTCGTCATAATTATGAAAATTATTCAGTTTAGTATTAATTTGGAAGCTAATTTCTTTTCAAGAACCACTTCCAACATAAATTTTGAATTTAAGTAGTTTCCATAATTTTGTGTGAACTCAAATTTTAAGACAAAATGGTCTTATGGACTAAAACTAGTGTAAATTTGGGCTTTTTACGCCCAAAACAAGCATATTAAACAATAATATACAAAACAATCTATGATAGAATGATGCTTATCTTGTATTGATTTAGTGATTTCTTTCTTACAGTGAGTTTTACTGAATTTTACTTTGAGAAGAACAATAAAGAGCACCGAACGGATGAGATCAGCATCAAAAGATTGATACTCAGACGTGGGCAGGAATTCCACATTACAGTGAATTTCAGTCAAAGTGGGTTCAACCTTGAAGCTGACAGATTTGTACTCATTGCAGAAACAGGTAATTAATCAGGAATGCAGTGGGACAAGTTCAAATGACTTTTATTCGACTAACAACCGGGTTCCTGCCTACCAATAGTTAATGCTTTCGGTCAAAGAGGAAGGTCTTCAGTCGTGATCCAAAAGAGGGGAAGGAGGAGGCAAAGTGGAGCGATAGAGGGAGAGCGATCAAAAGTCTCAGGGTGGTAGTGGCTGAAAATGCAGCCACCAATGTTGCAGGGGATGGTGCAAGGCCCAAACAGGAGGCCCAAGCTCGCCGAGCGTAAGCAGCAGGCACCGGAGTGAGAAATGTAAATTTCTCAATATAAAATAGAGAGCATTTGTTTTCATTATGTTTGAGTTAGGAGTTGCTGGAGGACTTATGTCTGTAGAAATGGGAGTTGCAAACATGTGGTGCATATAATAATATCATCCTTATATTTGATATAGCACTTTTCACAGCAGAAGCATTGTCCCACCAGCAGCCGTGAAATGAATGACCAATTTTATCTTGCCTCGGGATGCAACAAGATAATTTGAAGTTAATGGTCTAATATTTTGAGAAAGAGATAGCTGGCTACCACCAGCTTTCCTGTATCACGCCAATTTTGGTGACAAGGTGATGTCTGTCTGATCTGACATAGCTTTAAATTAATGAAATTCTTCTTGTCTCATTGTAGGTTTGAGACCTTCACATTCAGCTGGAACCCAGGTTTGTTTCGAACTTTTAAACTCGTTAGATCCAAATGAATGGAGCGCAACCTCGCATGGGTGTTCCAGCTGTGAACTGTCACTGACCATCAACTCTTCACCGAATGCCAAGATTGGTCGTTACACCTTGAAGCTGCACGACGCAACAGAAGAGCAAGCATACGTGCTGGGAGAATTCGTTCTGCTTTTTAACCCATGGTGCTCAGGTACAATATGCTTCATGCAAAATAAGATCACAAGATTGATTCAGGTGAAGAAGACCCTTCATTCAGCCTATTTGATTAAATCCTCCCAGAACTCCCACCCTGCCATCCTCCCATATCAGCATCAAATTGTTTTTTAAATAAGTCCACCTGATAACCATTATTTATTTCTCTCAGTGATACTTCCTGGCATTTGTACTGATACTATCATTTGCAACTCTGAACCTGTTCTTTCCTGTTCTCTGTGTTGGTGCAGCTGAAAGCATTGTCAAATAATGTCTTTACACATTACTTGCGCCTTTATATTTTTTGGAAAATAAGTGACACTGATACTCCTAACCATTGAAAACAGGCCTTTCTGATGAGATCAATGCAACAATTGGTCTATATTGTTCATAATAATAATAATAATCCTTGCATTTGATATAGCGCTTTTCACATCTTCTAGATGGCACAAAGCGCTTTGCAGATTATGCTGTAAAGTGAATTGACTGTATATTTGTGGGCGAAACACGGCAGCCAATTGCGTACAGAAGTGTCCCACGAACAGTCGTGGATTGAAAATGACCAATTTATTATTGTTTTTGTTTTTTGGAGAGATTATCATATAACCTTACACGTACTCTAACACCTGCCAAATTGCACTCATAAGGAAGGAAAGATTGTTTGCATCCAATTTAAAAATGTATCTTGCAGTGATATACATTTCACTATGAAATTAAAAAGAGCTCCACAGGTTTGAATGGATTTGCAATTCATGTCAAACTTATTGACCATTAATGTTATTTCTGGATTTCCCAGACCTTCAAACTCAGACCAAATATTCACAGGATCTTAGTCTTAAACCCACTGTTTCAATAATTTAACATTCGTACAGGAGTTTTGATAGCGGAGTTAAATTCAGACTTTCAGGAGTTGTTTTTAACCACTCTGTCTGGCAAGGTTCCCACTGCTTGTTAAGCTGGGACCATCACGGCTCGGGCTCACTAGGAGCTGAATGGGAAGAATCCTATCCACAGTGATTAGTCTGTTCAGGCAGTCTGGCTGGTTGTCGTCGGCAGTGCCATGGAATACCTCTGGCCCTTCAGGAGCCAGACTACTGAGATTGCCAGAGAGGATTAGCTCGATTCTGACATTCCAATGCAAGCACGTCACCTTGGAGCCAGTTCAGCTACAAGAAGATCTTCCCTCACCCCCCACTCCACCCCACCCCCACTCCTTCTAGGAGGATAGTCAGCACTTTCCAGCAATATCCAAAAAGAGCGCTGGAAAACCAACTTCCAAATTAAGGCTGAGTTCAAGATGGTTTCCAGAAGATGTAACTCATTGCATATGAAGACATGGGTCTGATGCCCAAGACAATGCAATACTTTGGGACTCTGCAGTCCTAAAGGTGTTGCATGTTAGACATCGTGTTAGCCATGTTAGTTTCAATAAACACCAGCTGGAATCTGTGGTATTGTTACATCTGCTCTGTAACTTTCAGAGGATGAAGTCTTTCTGGACAATGCTGAACAGCGAGAAGAGTATGTGATGAACGAAACTGGAATCATCTTCAGGAATACATATAACAGTATCCACTCCAACCCTTGGATCTTTGGACAGGTACTAAAAGATTAGGAAAGCATTCTTCTCAACTTATTTGTTCCCTTTATGGTGGTGCTTGAACATATAACTTCAACTTTCTCCCAGCCGAATCAGGGCTGACTTGAATTAATGGAAAGGTTATAATATGAATCCTTGCATCAATGTGTGTTATTTCAATTCAATTATTATTGCTGACGAATCGAACTACAGTTCATTATTTTCAAACAACAAAGACCTGGGTAAAAGGTAACATGAATGAATATGTAACCACAATTCCAGATTATTAATACAAATCTTTCTTTCCTAGTTCGAAGAAGATATTGTGGATATATGCCTCAAATTACTGGACCTAAATCCCAAAAGTTTAAGAAGCGCAACTGGGGACTATGAACGAAGAAACGATGCTGTTTACATCAGCAGGGTGGTATCTAGGATGGTAAGGTTGACATTTTGACGTTGATAGGGGTAGAAATAAAGGGAGTGGAATGGAATTTGTGAGGAGAAATTCCACCTGTGCCTAAATTTGCATTATGTTTAACATTTTACATCGTCCAACTTTGCCAAATTCTGCCATACTGCCTTAAATTGGAAAACAATTTTTTTTNAGAACTACCAGTTCTTTAAAGTAAAGCGACTCAAAAGTTAAGGCTAAATTCAGCAAATTTGTCAAATTCTGGTCACATTGAAATGCTACACTAACAGAGTAAATATAATCCCAGTTGGAATTTCTCCCCAGCGATGACTTGTTTTCGACCACGTTTTAGAAACCTCCTCTGACTGTCTTTTGATAAATCCGGAGTCTAGTCTTTCAACTGGGATTTGGTTAAAAATAATTATCTAACAGCAGCATTTCACAATTAAGATCTGTAATGTCTGATCTCCATCCATGTTCCGACTCTGCCCCTAATAATGGAGCCTGTGGTAACATTTACCTCCACCACCACCCACTAATCTTGACAATTATGCACCATAGATCTATGATGTACCAGAAGACCATTCCATTGCAATTGTTTCGGTGTTTGCTCCTCCATCTCTCCTAATCCCAATTTATCTGGAGAATAGTTGGCCAAGACACCAGAAACTCCCTTTCCACAAATGTCCAGGATAACATCTCAATGAAGGACGGCACCTCATACAGTGCAGCACCCCCTTGCACCACCCTGTAGTACCAACCGAGACTGTCAGCTCAAAATCTCAACATTTGAAAAGCGATGATGTGGTATTTACAAGCAAGAGAATACAACAGGGCAAATTAACAAAAATGCTCTGAATTACCCCAACTATGTTTCGACCCATTGATTTTGTCTACGTTTTAGGCTTATCCATTACTGACTTCCAGGATAATGACCCCATAATACATTCAACCCAAATTTACTGTTGTGTTTTCAGGTAAACAGTGCCGATGATAAAGGAATACTTAAAAGCCGATGGAATGGACCATATTATCCGGAAACAAGGCCTACACAATGGATTGGAAGTGTTGATATCCTTCGAAAGTGGTTTAGAAGTAACTACCAGGAAGTTTGTTTTGGACAGTGCTGGGTGTTTGCAGCGGTGGCTTGCACAGGTACAGAAGAGAGCGAGCAACCAGGGATTTCTTCCTTAAAAAAATGGAAAATGTACAATTATAAATTACCAAATATGACCAACAAATCATTGTTTCAACCACAATCAATATGTTGCAACATTACTTTAAAGCAACATTATTTCTGAGGTTGCAGAAACTGGCAAAATTTGTTCAATTCAGCTTTCACATGGATAATTTTAACTATGAAGACCATCAAATGCAATCTTTCGGCAATGTGTTTCTCAAAATAGAAATGCAAATTGCTGAATCCATTGTAAACGGAATGAACAAGACGAGAAGACTTTTTGTCCCCTACCCTGTTGTTCTGTAAAAGAGAACGGTAGTGTTTGGGAATTGAAAAGTGGTGACTTGCACAGTCAACTTGAACTTCACTCCAAAGTAATGGAAGTAGATTGTTGGGTTCCTGTTGATTGGCTGACACATACTATCGATTACATGGAGTCCTGTAGCTCAGAGGTTAGAGCACTCACCTCGCAAGCGAGAGACCAGGGTTTGATTCCCACCAGGACAAAACTTTGGGGAAGTTTCCTTACTCCTCATGGGTGATAATACTCCCTCAAGAAAAAAAAACAATAATAAATTGGTCACTTCAATCCATGACTTTGTGGGACACTGCTGTGTGCGATTGACTGCCGCGTTTTGCCCACACATATACAGTCAATTCACTTTACAGTATACTCTGTGAAGCGCTTTGAGATGTCTAGAAGAAGTGAAAAGCAATATATCAAATGCAAGGATTATTATATTATTATTATTATTTTATTTACTAGCAAGATTCCCCTTCAGAGACTCTGAGACCTTTACTCACTGAAAATCACCACTTGTTTGACACCCTGATATCATATGTGTAATGATCTGTTTTTCTGTTGGTTCTTTAGTTTTGAGGTGTTTAGGAATTCCTACACGTGTGGTCACAAACTTTCAATCTGCGCATGACACCAATGGAAACTTAACCATTGACAATGTGGTTGATGAACACGGAAGAACGATTAGAAACAACAGAGATAGTATTTGGTGAGTGAAGACTCAAACCAAACTTTTATTTTCTTTGGTAGAGGGATCCAAAACCAGGGGAGTAATCTTTAAATTAGAGCTAGGGTGGTTAGTGAGAAACACTTCTTCTCACAGAGGGTTTTGGAAAATGTGCAATAGGCTGTCGCAGGAAGCTGTGGATACAGCATTGATTGGGATGTTTGAAAGGGAGAGGAATGAATACTTGGGAAGCTTTGGTAGAAGAGGAGGGTCTTGAAACGGGTCTTGAAGGAAAAAGTTGCAGGGAATTCTTTGGGTATATAACTGGAGAGAAGACAGGAACAGAAACGTACTCAAATAATCATCACAATACATGTTGATACGGGGAAACATTGTATTATCTATTTCCATACTTCAGGAATTTCCATGTCTGGATAGAAGCTTGGATGGCTCGAAATGATCTCAAGTCTGGTTTTGATGGATGGCAGGTGCTGGATCCAACACCACAGAAGAGGAGTGAAGGTAAAGACCTCAATAGGCTTGTAGCCCAAGGCACGGATTGTCAGTAGGGTCATTTGAATTAATATATTCATATCTTTCATTTCTTACACAATTGAGGAAGAAGAATTTCAGGAAATATCACAATAACGATATAGGCAGTGTTAACAGCAAATGTCTCCTTTGGGGACATTAAAATACTAACTAGAATACTAGTTTGGATTATCGGTATTTTATTCAAACTTGCTACCAAATGCTCATCAATATTTTTAGGAGGAAATATGATGCATGCAGGAGAGACAAGGGAGCAGATGGGTAAAGCAGAGGGGTTGTTTGAGTATGAGGAGTGGCACAGGCTAGTGGGGCTGAATGGCTTGTTTCCATGTGTATCATTGAATGTAATTAATCTATTTCATTGTTTTTCTTAAGGTGTCTATTGTTGTGGACCATCTCCAGTCAAAGCAATAAAAGAAAGACGACTGAATGTGAAGTTCGATGTTCCCTTCGTGTACGCAGAGGTCAATGCGGATGTGGTGGACTGGATCTTCTACAGAGATGGTAGAAAGGAAAAGACATCTCTTAATACCACAAATGTCGGCCGAAAGATCAGTACCAAGGCTGTTGGGAGTAGAGAACGCGAGGATATCACAGCAAATTACAAATACCCTGAGGGTGAGGAACAGAAATAGAACCATTAAGGAATTGAAAAGTGCAAAGATGTTTCTTAAAATCGCAACTGTATATTAATACATTTTCACTTATAACACAAAATATTGTATTTGAAGAATATGTGTAATCTTCATGCAAACGAGAGGATTGGAGTACATTTTGATTATTATTATGATTATATATTTTTTCCCTTTAATTGTGAATCCATTTAGGCCATGATGTTGTAGGATTTTGTGGTGTTACTGAGGTGAACAACAGACGATATGTTCCGAAAGAGAAGACATTCAATTTGGCTGTGAAGACTCAAGAGTCCATCTCAATTGGCAAAGATGTTTATGCTCATGTGTACATCTTCAACAAAAGTGACAAGAAAATTGAATGCAATCTGAACTTCAGTGCTGAAATAATATTGTATACTGGCAAACCCATTAAGGAATGCAAGACAAAGAACATTAACGGAATTGTTGTTGGACCCGGTGCAGGTAAGAGAGAAGGCTATTTTTTTGATTGAGATTTTGTAGAAAGTTATTTTGTGGATCTTGAGTTAAAAGATTTCCAGTTCTAGTTGTTATTTTTCTTATATTTTATATCAGTTATGTAAATAAATAAGTGAGCATTTCAAATGTTCTCGGCGATTCTTTGTATTTTTCTGGACTTGTGTAATTTTCATCTCTATTCTTACCTGATCTTTCAGAGAAAACTGTCCCTATGGAACTGACTTACGCTGATTATAGCATATTGCTTGTCGAACACAGTGTGATCAAGTTGACAGCTGTTGGAACTGACATAAACACAAATGAATGTAACTTTGCCACAACAGTCTGAAAATTCCAAGCATTGACATTAAGGTTATCACAAGGTCACAAGAGAAGTTCGGATGAAGAAGGCTCTTCGACCCATTTGATTGCATCCTTCCAGAATACCCATCCTCCCATTACAAAGTCAAGTGTTTTTTTTTAAAAAAATGTTCAGCATTCTGACTTGTATCTCTGCCTCAGCACAATGGACAAGGCCATCTCAGACCACTTCCTCATCTCCGTCTCCTCTCTCATCCGTCTTTCCTCCACCAAGCCGTCAACCATACTTTACTGCCCGTGGAAAAATCTACATCCTGAGACCCTCACAAAGGTCCTCACATCCTCAAATATCCTATCCCTCTGGCCTTCAACCTACAGAGATCCTCCTGCCTCTTGTCACCCACCACCACCCCCTCTCCGTCTCCCTCACCTTCCCCATCATCAGCTCCTACCATGACCACCATCCTACATTCCTTTCTCTCCTCCTCCCTCTCACCCACCATCACCTCAATGAAACCCACCACCTTCTGCCTCGACCCCCTCCCCACCAACTTGCTGATCACCCAGCTCCCCCTCCTCTGCCCACCACTAGCTGATGTCATCAACTAGTCCCGCTCCTCTGGATCAGTCCCTGTCCCCCTCAAAACTGCTGTCATCACCGCCCTCCTCAAAAAACTTACCCTTGATCCCCCTAACCCTAGCCCCTACCGCCCTATTTCAAACCTGCCCTTCCTCGCAAAAGTCCTAGAACGCATTGTTGCAAATAACTCTGCGCACACCTCTCCTCCCACTCCCTCTTCGAACCCCTCCAGTCCGGTTTCTGCCCTGCCCACAGTTCAGAGACTGCGCTTGTCTCAAATGACATCCTCTCTATCTGTGATCAGGGCTCCCTCTGCCTCCTTGTCCTCGTGGACCTCTCCGCCGCTTACGACACAGTCGATCACGCCATCCTCCTTCACCCCCTTTCCTCCGTCATCCAACTCAGTGGGACTGCACTCACCTGGTTCGAGTCCTACCTCACAAAACGCCAGCAGTACATCTGCACAAACGGCTTTTCCTCCCGCCTTCACCCGGTTACCTGCGGGGTACCCCAAGGATTCATCCTTGGCCCCCTCCTCTTTCTGATCTACATGCTTCCTCTTGGGGATGTCATCCACAAACATGGGGTAGACTTCCACATATATGCGGACGACACCCAACTCTATTTTTCCACCTCACATTGCGATCCCCAGTCCCCTTGATGTTCTGTCAGCTGCCTGTCTGACATCTGGATGAGCATGAATTTCTTTCAGCTGAATGTTGACAATACGGAAGCCATACTCTTTGGCTCTTTTCAACGTCTAAAATCAGATGGTTCTCTCCTCCTCCACCTACCTGACCTCCCCCTAAAACTCTCCAAACCTGTACGCAACCTAAGCATCAGGTTCGACCCCCAATTATCCTTCCTCCCCCACATCCGGTCCCTCACCAGCACCACTTTCTTCCACCTCTGACGCATCACCCGTCTCCACCAATACCTCACTCCAAAAGCCGCTGAAACCCTGGTCTACGTCTTTGTTCTTGTCAGCTGGACTATTCAAATGCCCTCCTCACTGGCCTCCCCTCCATTACCATTCACAAAATCCAAGTCATCCAAAACTCTACTGCCCGTATTCTTACCCGCGCCAAAATCCACTCCCCAATTACCCCAGTCCTTGCCAGACTGCACTGCTCCCTGTCCCAGAAAGGATCGATTTCAAAATCCTCACCCTTGTCTTCAAATCCCTCCACTCATCTGCACCCCCGACCTTTCTGACCTCCTCTCTCCTCACAACAGTGCCTGTTGCCTTCGCTCCACGACATCTGTCCTCCTCCTCGTCCCCCGAATCCTCCGCTCTACCATCGGCAGCCGTGACTTCAGCCACTGCACCCCGAGTCTCTGGAACTCCCTTCCTCACTCCCTTCGCCTCGCCCCACCTCTTCCTATTTTCAGGTCTCGGCTGAAAATCTTTCTTTTCAACTGCACTTTGGTCACCTTCCTCCCCCTCGCCCTGGCTTGGCCCCAGGATCCGTTACTGTGAAGCGCTCTGAGATGCCGTCCAGCGTGGAGGGCGATATATAAATCAAAGTTGTTGTTGAGCTGTATCAATAAGGGCCATTTATGAACTATCTTAAAAGTTGTGGAAGGAAAGCATATTTCGGAAGATAATTCTTGATTCACTTTCTCAGCTCCTGGGTGAGCCAGTGCAGTATCAAAAGGTGAAAGTAGAAATCTGCATTGAGAACCCTCTGCTTGTACCTCTGAAACAAGGTGTCTTGACATTTGGAGGATCTGGACTGATTGACGTAACCCAGATAAGGTAAATAAAAAACACAGAATAACATTGTTCAGTGTATGTAAAAAGGCTAGTCGTACCCTTCCTTCACCATCTCATCAAAAACACGGCACCTCCATCAATTCAACACCCAGTGCAATGTGAGTTAGAGTGTTGCATTATCAGAGACCCTGTCCTTCGAGTAAGACATTTAACTCTGGTCCCAACTGCCCAAAAGTTTCATTTCAGTACTTGAAAAAACAAAGAATTCCTCCTGGTGTCCTAACTGACAATCCCCCCGATACAATTAGTTATTCATGGCTGTTCATGTGACGTTGCTCTACACAAATATGGGTGCCCACAAATAAACAGACTGCAATTTGCAAGAAAATATGTGAAGCGCTTTGATACCTTTTTGTCTCATCAAAGGCGTTCTATCCAATGCAAGCATTATTATTGAATTTGTTCCAGTTGAGCTATTTTCTTCTTTAAATTCCTTCTACTGAACTGATGAGTTGCTTTTCTTCTTCTTTCAGAATCAATGAGATCAAAGACCGTCACATATCAGCAGTGTTTGAAATCACCCCATGGAAATCAGGCACTAAGGAACTCTTGGTGGATTTCGATTGCGATCAAATAAAGGATGTCAAAGGATCCAAAATCATCGTGGTTGAAAGGGCCAAGTAATTCTGTGGAGTGTAGGACTCTCACTCCCAGGTTCTAAGATAGGCTCCGCTACTCGCACAGAATTATCAACATACATGTCGATTTTCTTTGATCACGCATTATTAAATTTGGGTATTATTGCCAGGCGCTGTCTTCTATTGCTTTTTCTTAAAAAATGTCTATCTCACTATATACTCAAACTTTGAATGTTTCCCCGACTAGGGGGAGGCCATGGGTCATTTTCTGTTGATTCCACTTCTGTAATAATAATTATAATATGTACAATAATCCTTACAATTGATTTATTGCATTATCATCTCGTCAAGGTGTCTGAAAATGCTGCTACTCCTACTCCCATCTTCTATATCCCTCCATTCCCTAATACTGTCTACTCATTTATTTGTCTTTTAAAATTTAAACTTAGTACCATTTAAACCTGAAACCTGAATTTCTCTTGAATGTCTTGAATGTATACATTTTTTCTCTCAATAAAATGCATTTATTGTTTGCAGCAAAGAAAGTCTTCACAAATAATCCTTTAGAACTACATTCGTCTTTATTCCGCTGGACACTTCTTGCTTTTTGAGACTTGGTCCCATTGCATCATGTTTCCATACAGGCTAGCAGGTCTTTGTGCACCAAATTGTTGTATACCCACTCAGAAGTGTCTCTGGATTGTGTAAAACTGCAGCCTAGAAAATAAAAGAAAACCACACACAGTGAGTTAGGAGTTAGCATTGGTCAAAGTTAATACATGCCTCTTGTCTTTTGACAACAACAATTTACGTTTATACACCACCTTCCACGTTCACAACAACAACAACATCAAATTACATTATTATAGCACTTTTCATGTTGGGAGGACGTTCCAAGGTATTGGACAGTCAGAGATTTTGACCCCAGCAGGGGTTTGGGATCAGGAGGGGTGGAGGACAGGGAGGGTGGGGGTAAGTAGGTGACTGAAGACGTGGGCAAAGGAAGGTGTCGAAGCAGGCCTTGAATGAGCCAAGCAATGGGGCAAGGTGAAGGGACGCTGAGATGGAGTTCCAAAGGGTGGGGGCAGAAAGGCTAAAAGCCCGAATGCCAATAGTGGGGTGGGTTGGGCATGGCTGGGTAGGGGAAATAGAGCAAGAAAGATTCAGCTGAGTGGAGGGAGTAGACGGGTCGATATGGAGTTAGCAGATCACAGAAGAGGGAGGAGCAATACTGTGGACAGCTTTGAAGGCAAGGATGAGGATAAAAGTGCATCCATGGATGTTGCTATGTTTGAGTTGTAGAGGTGCTGATGGAAGCCAATCATAGGGGTTCAGTATTGTTGGCATTCAACTGGAGAGAGTTAGCTCAAAGTTTCACATCTCAAAGTGTTTCATGAATCTTACCAGGAACTAGAATTGCCTGGCTGGTGGGTGGAAATGATCTTGCCTATAGAGAGATCTTGAGGTGAGTTTTGAAGGTGGGGGGAGGGGAGTGTTTGGAGCAAGGCAGAGGGATTCTGGGTTGAAAGTCCAGAGATCAGGCAGAATGACTAAAAGCTCATCCATAGGAGTCCTGTAGCTTAGTGTTTAGGGCACTCACCTCCCAAACGAGAGGACCTGGGTTTGATTCCCGGCAGGGAGAAACATTGGGCAAGTTTCATTATTCCACACGCCTATGTAGCAGTTATTAGGAACCCAATTGTTAGTCAATTGGTGGATTGCTTTTCCGGAGGTACTGTACCTATCCCCCTAAAGACAGCCCTCATCAGCCCTACCCTCAAAAACCTTTCCCTTGACCCATCTCTGCTTTCCAACATTTCCACATTTCAAATCTTCCTTTTCTAACAAAGGCCATGGAACGAGTCATCGCTCCCCAGTTTCGCTATTTCCTCTCCCAGCATTCCCTTCATGAACCCCTCCAATCTGGGTTTTGTGCTACTTACTGCACCGAGACAACCCTGGTCAAATGACATTCTTTCGATACTGTTGACCACGCTATTCTTCTCCACCGCCTCTCCTCCCACCTCCACTTCAATGGTTCTGTTATTGCCTGGTTCCAATCCTATCATTCCTACCGTCTGCACTTTGTGGCCACCAACAGCTTCTCCTCTAGTCGTGTGGCATACCACGGGGCTCTTTCTTCGGTCATCTTCTCTTCAATCTATGCATGCTCCTGCTCGGCGATGTCATCCGTAGGCTTGGGGTCAATTTGCACATGTATGTGGATGACACCTAACTCTATGTTGCTGCCTGCACCCTCGACTCCCTGACCGTTCATGTCCTGGCCAATTGTCTACCTGACATTAAGTCCTGAACAAGAGCCAACTTCCTCCAGCTCAATGTTCCTCCAACTCAAGACAGAGGCCCTACTGCTTGACACCAAGCAGCACCTCCTCACCTCAGCCGCTGACACTATCACCGGTCATGGCTACACTCTTCACCTCACCGAGACAATCCGAAACCTCTGTGTCCTTTTGGACCCTAAGCTATCATTCAAACCCAACATTCATGCCATGACTTGTTCCACCTTTCTATACCTCTGCAACATTGCCCGCCTCCGCCACTACCTCTCACCGCATGCTGCTGAGAACCTGATCCACACTTTCATTATGTTTCGGTTTGACTACACCAACTCCCTGCTCACTGTACTTCCCAATTCTTCCCTCCACAAGCTGCAGATTATTCACAACTCTTCAACTCATGTCCTCTCCCGCACCAGGCTCCGTAAACTGATCACCCTTGTTTTTGCTCAGCTTCTCTGGCTCCCCATTCCTCAGAGAACCAGGTAAAAAATCCTTGTTCTTACCTTCAAGGCCCTCCATAGTTTTGCTCCCCCCTACCTCTCCAACCTCATAACCCCACATCAGTCTGTCTGCTTCCTCCGCTCAGCAAATACCAGCTTCAAGTCCGTGCACTTCATGCCCCACCATTGGTGGTCGGGCATTCAGAATCTCTGTCCCCACATTCTGGAACGTATCCCGCAATCCCTCTGCCTCACCCCCTCTCTTGCCTCCTTCAAGTCCTGTCTGACGACCTTCGTCGTCAACTGTGCCTTCGGCCATAGCCTTCCAAGGCTTCTATGTAATGTGCTCCTATACACCATAGGTTTTCCATATTTTGTTTAAGGAATGCACATTCCTTGGATGGACGCATTCTGTTTATCATGGAGGTTCTAATCTTTGGAGGAAATGTTAAACAGTGGTGAAACGCGGTGGCCAATATCGCATTGCAGTGTCCAATAAATAGCCGTGGATTATGCAACCAAATTATTATTATAATTCCAGCACCCTGGGACATCTTTCCAAAGTCATGGGCGCTATACAAGTGTAATTTGTTGTTGTTTCTGTTATTTATTCGTTTCTATTTTTTTGAAAGGATTATTACGCCCGGAAATACGATCCGCTGATTGACTAACAACCAGGTTCCTACTTACTGTTAGGTAAACAGAGATGTGTGGAGTAAGGAAACTGGCCCAACGTTTCGCCCTTCAACAAACACCATCCTGACACGAAAGGTTCTATATCAACTATATATATATCTATATATATATATAACTATATCATGACCCAACTGTGCAGCGCCTTGGGACGTCCTCCTGACGTGAAAGGCGCTTTATAAATGGAATCTTGTTGTTGCTGACTCCAGTGACTGGTCTGCCATAGCTGCTGAGTTGACAAACATTAGGGCGGGTACAAAATGGCTTCAGGCCAATTTTCATGCTCAATGTGCAGGTTAGTACGATTGTTGCAGCATGTCTCCAATAAATAATGTTGTGAACACATTTTTGATTGTTCAAAAGTGGAGAAGACAGAGGGTGCGGCACTTGGCTCAAATATAAGTATTCTCAGAAGTAACTTCCATCATAATTTATTGGTATTTGGCACAGGGTCTTTCATGTTGGGAGAATGATTAAAAGCGCTTTGCATGATTTACTGTAACGTATAGTGACTGTGTATCTTCTAGGCAAATGCAACAGCCAATTTGCACACAGCAATGTCCGACAATTTTTGTATTTTGTAGGAAATGGCAGTGGTCAGTTGGGACACAGAGACGTTGATACATTGCAACGCACCAAAGGCCACATGTAAACTATTTGTTTTAAAGCTATTGTGGCAGACTTCTATGGAGCCAGTGGAAGAAATATCGTCTTTTACACATAATAAAAATAATGTGATTCAGCTTGTTTCAGTCTGTAGCACTCTTGCCTCGGAATCAGAAGATTGTGAGTTCATGCTGCATGTCGGGACATTGAACTCATAGAGTCTAGGCTGACATTCCAATGCAGCGCTGGGGGTGTATTGCAATGTTGGAGGTGTTCCCTTTCTTATAAGATGCTAAACTCAGGTCCTGTCTACTTGTTCAGATATATGCTAAACATCCCGTAACACTATTTGAAAAGTGAAGAGACTTTCTCCCAGTGTCCTGGCTTGCAATGCCCCAAATAAAATTGGTCATTCATTTTATGGTTATTTGTCAGATATTCCTGTTCTACAGTTTGGCTGTCATGTTCACGTAGAAAATACACAGTTACTATATTTTATTATAATTATACAGTATATTGTGTGAATCATTATCAGACACTTTTACGACATGAAAATTTTTATATCAAATGGAAGAATTATTATTTAAATAGAAGTGGATTTAACACTGAGGGATATGGATAGAGAGAAGGGAGTTTCTCCCAGTGTCCTGGCCAACAATCCCACAAATAAAATAGATCATTCACTTCATTGCTGTTTATGGGATATTGCTGTGTACAAAATCGCTGTTTTCGCAATGAACCAGGCTAGCTGAACTGCCATCAGCAGTTCCCTGGAGTATCGCAAACCAACCTGGTTCAGGAATTGAACTATCAAGCGCAGCAAATAGGATTAACTTGAGTTCAACATTAAATTGATAAGCGTGCTACTTTGGAACCATCCCAGCTCCAAGACACCCTGCTTGGATTCTCATCCACTTTGGAACGCAAGATAAAATCAGTGGTAGAAGCACAAACCTGGAAAGACTTGTGGTGAGCAGAGCTGATGCTGGCTTGTTGGAGCAAGGGCTTATAAGAATAAAAATAATCCTTGCATTTGACAGAGCACCAAGACCAGTTATTACATCTTACTGTTAATTACATACACATAGAATGTACAGAACACTGACTGCTGCTCCTTATGCAGAGAAAGTCCACCTGAGTCTAGAATTATTCTCTTTTATTAGCAATTTCTGAACAACTAGAATTTGGCAAATTGTTGAATTGGATCGTAAATTTGAAGATGGTTTAATGTCATTCTTCAAATAAAAAGGGATTCAAAGTAATGAGTTTATTTAAGAATGCATCAAATTCTGGATGCTCTGAAATGATACATGAATAGTAAGTCTAGATATGGGTAGATTGAGTTCATTTGAGTCTATTTGACTTCAAATCGCTATTGCGTGACAGCTTGTTGCATGCAAATCATCTGTGCTGTTGTGCAAAGTGTCAGACTGCCAGAAAACTTATCTAGGAGCGACATTGACCTATTAAAAGGATCCTGAAGCCTGAGATACCACATAGGCTTAGCTTATACGACTGTATTAAGATCACGCAGAAAATGTAGAAAATTCTTGAATTCAGAAGGTTTTTTGTTTTTGAAAACAGTGAAAGTTCGGCGTCCAAACTCAGACTGAAATTTATATTTTTGCACAGGTCTGAGTGATTTTAAAATTTTGAGACAAAACAATGTGACGGGCCAAGAGCCGAGTGAAATTTAAGTGTCCTGGTCATGTGCGGTGGGGTTTGAGGCAGAACCATTAATGCTTTGAGGCAGAAGGAGGAGGAAACAAACAAGAGATAAATTAGTGCAAATTCATGAAAAGCCTGGAAGTGATTGCAGCAAACTGCAAACCAAGCTAAATTTGAACCTGATTTACACCACGTATGGAGAAAATATTTTGTACATCAAAAGACAAAAATACGTAAAGTCAGACAAAGATACTTGGAGCAGTCAGCGTGCTTTGACCCTCCGCCTCTGTATGCCTAGTTCCCTGCCAACTCTGCTGCTTTATGTCAACAACCTTTCAACTTTATACCTTTTTGTTCATTCAATCAATTATCAGCCATGTAAGCCTTTCACAACTGGACAAAGAGTCAAGCGCGCTGTTACTTCTGTTTATCCCAAGAACCGGGCATTTTGACTGCAAAACAGCTTGTATCGTCCCAAGGCCAGTGATTGTCTTACATCATCATTTCATGTTGACCTTTTCTTCTTAACCAGACAAAAACATCTTATGTCATTAACAGATGTTGTTGAGTGATGGTTCGCGTACAAAATGGTGTTATCTAATTAACAACTTAGTGTTTACGATACTATGTGGCCCTGCCTTAAACCGTTTCATTACATGTATCATATTTCTCAAAATCCAGCTCAGATCATAGGAAATATGAGAGAGGGTAAGGCACAAGGAATAGCACAGCTCAGCATTAAATGTGTGAGAACATTGCCATCATCCTCCTACACACAGCTCAGTCTCTGCTAACTGCTGAATTGACAACATAATAAAAAATTAGCATTTAATATAGTGCCTTCATGTCTTTGAGAAATCTCAAAGCACTTCGAAGAATATACTGTAAAGTGAATTTTGTGGGCGGAACGGGGCAGCCCAATGGCACACAGCAGTGTCCCACAAACAGTCGTGAATTGAGGGAGCAAATTATTCTTTTTTTAAGGGATTATTACCCCCACAAAAGTGATCCACCAATCGACTAACAACCGGGTTCCTACTTACTGTTAAGTAAACAGAGATGTGTGGAGTAAGGAAACTGGCCCAACGTTTCGCCCTTCAACAAACACCATCCTGACACAAAAGGTTCTATATCAAATGGAAGAATTATTATTTAAATAGAAGTGGATTTGATACTGAGGGATCTCGATAAGGAGAAGGGTGTTTATCCCAGTGTCCTGACCAATAGATCATTCACTTCACTGCCATTTATGGGACGTTGCTGAGTGGAAGTCGGCTGGCACTTTCGCCAACAAAACATAACTACAAGACTTTACAATATACCCATTGATGAACTGCTGACTCCAGTGACTGGTCTGCCATAGCTGCTGAGTTGACAAACATTAGGGCGGGTACAAAATGGCTTCAGGCCAATTTTCATGCTCAATGTGCAGGTTAGTACGATTGTTGCAGCATGTCTCCAATAAATAATGTTGTGAACGCATTTTTGATTGTTCAAAAATGGAGATGACAGAGGGTGCGGCACTTGGCTCAAATATAAGTATTCTCAGAAGTAACTTCCATCATAATTTATTGGTATTTGGCACAGGGTCTTTCATGTTGGGAGAATGATTAAAAGCGCTTTGCATGATTTACTGTAACGTATAGTGACTGTGTATCTTGTAGGCAAATGCAACAGCCAATTTGCACGCAGCAATGTCCGACAATTTTTGTATTTTGTAGGAAATGGCAGTGGTCAGTTGGGACACAGAGACGTTGATACATTGCAACGCACCAAAGGCCACATGTAAACTATTTGTTTTAAAACTATTGTGGCAGACTTCTATGGAGCCAGTGGAAGAAATATCGTCTTTTACACATAATAAAAATAATGTGATTCAGCTTGTTTCAGTCTGTAGCACTCTTGCCTCGGAATCAGAAGATTGTGAGTTCATGCTGCATGTCGGGACATTGAACTCATAGAGTCTAGGCTGACATTCCAATGCAGCGCTGGGGGCGTATTGCAATGTTGGAGGTGTTCCCTTTCTTATAAGATGCTAAACTCAGGTCCTGTCTACCTGTTCAGATATATGCTAAACATCCCGTAACACTATTTGAAAAGTGAAGAGACTTTCTCCCAGTGTCCTGGCTAGCAATGCCCCAAATAAAATTGGTCATTCACTTAATTGCTGTTTATGGGATATTGCTGTCTACAAAATCGCTGTTTTAGCAATGAGTCAGGCTAGTTGATCAGAGCGCCAAGACCAGTTATTACATCTCACTGTTAATTACATACACATAGAATATACAGAACACTGACGGCTGCTCCTTATGCAGAGGAAGTCCACCTGAGTCGAGAATTATTCTATTTTATTAGCAATTTCTGAGCAACTAGAATTTGGCAAATTGTTGAAATGGATCGTAAATTTGAAGATGGTTTAATGTCATTCTTCAAATAAAAAGTGATTCAAAATAATGAGATTATTTAAGAATGCATCAAATTCTGGATGCTCGGAATTGTACATAAATAGTAAGTCTAGATATCGGTGGTTTGAGTTCATTTGAGTCTATTGAGTTCAAATCAGTATTGCATGACAGCTTGTTGCATGCAAATCATCTGTGCTGTTGTGCAAAGTGACATACTGCCAGAAGACTTATCTAAGAGCAATATTGACCTATTAAAAGGATCCTCATGCTTGAGATTCCACATAGGCTTAGCTTCTACGACCATATTATATCAAAATTTAAGATCACACAGAAAATTCTTAAATTCATTGAATTCAGAAGGTTTTTTGTTTTTTTGAAATCAGTGAAAATTCGGCTTCCAAACTCAGACTGAAATTTATATTTTTGCACAGGTCTGAGTGATTTTAAAGTTTTGAGACAAAACAATGTGACGGGCCAAGAGCCGAGTGCAAGTTAGGTCTCCTTTGGGGTGGGGTTGAGACAGAACCATTAATGCTTTGAGGCAGAAGGAGGAGGAAACAAACAAAAGATACATTAGTGCAGATTCATGAAAAGCCTGGAAGTGATTGCAGCAAACTGCAAACCAAGCTAAATTGGAGCCTGATTTATGAGAAAATATTTTGCATATGAAAGGATACAGATAAAGAAAGTTGGATGGCATTCTGATCTTTTCAAGAACCTTTCCAAGAAAAGTCATTTGTGCAATGGGTATTTTGTGTTACTTGCAGCAGCCAATCATATACCAGATTGAGGATATAAAGGTTGAGAGACTGCTTCCATATGTCACAAGATTGCACAGAGCGGAGTCTCTGAAGACAGAGGTCACCTCATCTGATTCAAAATGCCATGTGGTGAGTGTGGATATTATATTAATTGTCAGTGAAGTTTACAGATTCATTTTCTTTTGATATATAATAATAACAATAATAATTCTTGCATTTGATATAGCGCCTTATCACGTCTTCGAGCCGTCTCAAAGCGCTTCACAGAATATACCGTAAACTGAATTACTGTGTATTTTGTGGGTGAAAAGCAGCAGCCAATTGCGCACAGCAGTGTCCCACATACAGTCGTGGATTGAGTGATCAAATTATTCTTATTAGAATATATAGGAAGCAGGTCATTCAAAAACAACAACCAGTGGGGATCACTGAAAGAGGCAAAGAGAGGAATACTAGGTAACTGTTTAGGTATCAAGCTGTTTGGAGTAGCTTGAGGAGGGGCAAAATAGCAGACTTTATTCAGCAATGTGCACCCAAATGTGTTGACACCTGAGGAAACACAATTTAAGTCGCAAGGGATCTTTTCCCAAAAGTGAGACAGTAATCGTGCCATCTCCTTTCCAATCAGCAATTTCTTGTGCCTCTAAAAGGGGAAAAATTCCATTGAGCGTTTGTCCTTTATTTGAAGCACAGAAAATTCCAATCAGCAGCCCATATTATCAAAGGAGACACATGTGATGCTCACTGGAATTTTTGCCCACAAAAGTAATAATAATCCTTGCATTTGATATAGCGCTTTTCACGTCTTCTAGATGTCTCAATATAGACATCTAGAATATACTGTAAAGTGAATTGACTGTATATTTGTGGGCAAAACATAGCAGCCAAATGCGCACAGCAGTGTCCCACAAACAGTCGTGAATTGAATGACCAAATTATTATTGTTTTTTTTCTTGAGAGATTATTATCAGGTGTGTGGTGTAATGAAACTTGCCCAAGGTTTCGCCCTGCCAGAAATCGAACCCAGGTCTCTCGCTTGTGAGGTGAGTGCTCTAGCCACTGAGCTACAGGACTCCACAAGGCTTCAGGGTGATCTGTAATTCTATTAATCCTGTTCTATTCATTCTTTAAGTGAGATTGTTTCAGTTGCTATTGCCAGTTTACCTTCCAACATAAAGACTGAATTTAAGAATTCTCCATAGTTCTATGTGAACTCAAATTTTAAGACAATTTTAAGACAAAATGGTCTTATGGACTAAAACTAGTGTAAATTTGGGCTTTTTACCAGAAAAACAAGAATATTAAACAGTAATATACAAATCAATCCATGATAGAATGATACTTGTGTTGTATTGATGTACTGATTTCTTTCTTACAGTGAGTTCTACTGAGTTTTACTTTGAGAAGAACAATAAGGAGCACCGAACGGATGAGATCAGCATCAAGAGATTGATAGTCAGACGTGGGCTGGAATTCCGCATTAGAGTGGACTTCAGTCAAAGTGGTTTCAACAATGGCAGAATTGTACTCATTGCAGAAACAGGTAATTAATCAGGAATGCAGTGGGACAAGTTCAAATGACTTTTATTCAACTAACAACCGGGTTCCTGCCTACCAATAGTTAATGCTTTCAGTCAAAGAGGAAGGTCTTCAGTCGTGATCCAAAAGATGGGAAGGAGGAGGCAAAGTGGAGGGATAGAGGGAGAGCGATCAAAAGCCTCAGGGTGGTAGTGGTTGAAAATGCAGCCACCAATGACGGAGCGGACAGTACAAGGGCCAAACAGGAGGCCAGAGCTCACTAAGTGTAGGCAGCAGTGAGTAAAAATTACACGTTTCTCAATATAACATAGAGAGCATTTGTTTTCATTACGGTTGGGTTAGGAGTTGCTGGCAGACTGATGTCTCTAGCAATGGGAGTTGCAATCACGTGGCGCATTTAATAACATCATACTTGTATGTGACATAGCACGTTTCACAGCAGAAGGATTGTCCCATCAGCAGCCGTGAAGTGAATGACCAATTTTATCTTGAGCTCTGAGATACTATCCTGTTAGAAGGATGCTATTTAAATGCAAGTTTTTCTTGTTATTTGGGGGATCGCTGGTCAGAAAAACGCCTTTCTCTTTTCAAATAGTGCCATGGGATCTTTAACGTTCACCTGAATAACTGTGGTGTGACGACCAATCTTATGACGCAGAGGCAGGATAATTTGAAGTTTATGATCTAATATTTTGAGAAAGTGATAGTCAGCTACCACCAGCTTTCTTGTATCACGCCAATTTTGGTGACAAGGTGATGTCTGTCTGATCTGACATAGCTTTAAATTAATGAAATTCCTCTGGTCTCATTGTAGGATCTAGACCTTCACATTCAGCTGGAACCCAGGTTTTGATTCCACTTTCAAACAGTTTAGATCCAAATGAATGGAGCGCAACCATGAAGGGGTGTTCCAGCTGTGAAATGTCACTGATCATCAACTCTTCACCGAATGCCAAGATTGGTCGTTACACCTTGAAGCTGCACGACGCAACAGAAGAGCAAGCATACGTGCTGGGAGAATTCGTTCTGCTTTTTAACCCATGGTGCTCAGGTACAATGGCTTTTAATATGCCTCATGCAGAATAAGATCACAAGATTGATTCAGGTGAAGAAGACCCTTCATTCAGCCTATTTGATTAAATCCTCCCAGAACTCCCACCCTGCCATCCTCCCATATCAGCATCAAATTGTTTTTTAAATAAGTCCACCTGATAACCATTATTTATTTCTCTCAGTGATACTTCCTGGCATTTGTACTGATACTATCATTTGCAACTCTGAACCTGTTCTTTCCTGTTCTCTGTGTTGGTGCAGCTGAAAGCATTGTCAAATAATGTCTTTACACATTACTTGTGCCTTTATATTTTTTGGAAAATAAGTGACACTGACACTGATACTCCTAACCATTGAAAACAGGCCTTTCTGGTGAGATCAATGCAACAATTGGTCTATATTGTTCATAATAATAATAATAATCCTTGCATTTGATATAGCGCTTTTCACATCTTCTAGATGGCACAAAGCGCTTTGCAGATTATGCTGTAAAGTGAATTGACTGTATATTTGTGGGCGAAACACGGCAGCCAATTGCGCACAGAAGTGTCCCACGAACAGTCGTGGATTGAAAATGACCAATTTATTATTGTTTTTGTTTTTTGGAGAGATTATCATATAACCTTACACGTACTCTAACACCTGCCAAATTGCACTCATAAGGAAGGAAAGATTGTTTGCATCCAATTTAAAAATGTATCTTGCAGTGATATACATTTCACTATGAAATTAAAAAGAGCTCCACAGGTTTGAATGGATTTGCAATTCATGTCAAACTTATTGACCATTAATGTTATTTCTGGATTTCCCAGACCTTCAAACTCAGACCAAATATTCACAGGATCTTAGTCTTAAACCCACTGTTTCAATAATTTAACATTCGTACAGGAGTTTTGATAGCGGAGTTAAATTCAGACTTTCAGGAGTTGTTTTTAACCACTCTGTCTGGCAAGGTTCCCACTGCTTGTTAAGCTGGGACCATCACGGCTCGGGCTCACTAGGAGCTGAATGGGAAGAATCCTATCCACAGTGATTAGTCTGTTCAGGCAGTCTGGCTGGTTGTCGTCGGCAGTGCCATGGAATACCTCTGGCCCTTCAGGAGCCAGACTACTGAGATTGCCAGAGAGGATTAGCTCGATTCTGACATTCCAATGCAAGCACGTCACCTTGGAGCCAGTTCAGCTACAAGAAGATCTTCCCTCACCCCCCACTCCACCCCACCCCCACTCCTTCTAGGAAGATAGTCAGCACTTTCCAGCAATATCCAAAACGAGCGCTGGAAAAGCAACTTCCCAATTAAAGCTGAGTTCAAGATGGTTTCCAGAAGGTGTAACTCATTGCATATGAAGACATGGGTCTGATGCCCAAGACAATGCAATACTTTGGGACTCTGCAGTCCTAAAGGTGTTGCATGTTAGACATCGTGTTAGCCATGTTAGTTTCAATAAACACCAACTGGAATCTGTGGTATTGTCACATCTGCTCTGTAACTTTCAGAGGATGAAGTCTTTCTGGACAATGCTGAACAGCGAGAAGAGTATGTGATGAACGAAACTGGAATCATCTTCATGAATACATATAACAGTATCTACTCCAACCCTTGGATCTTTGGACAGGTACTAAAAGATTAGGAAAGCATTCTTCTCAACTTATTTGTTCCCTTTATGGTGGTGCTTGAACATATAACTTCAACTTTCTCCCAGCCGAATCAGGGCTGACTTGAATTAATGGAAAGGTTATAATATGAATCCTTGCATCAATGTGTGTTATTTCAATTCAATTATTATTGCTGACGAATCGAACTACAGTTCATTATTTTCAAACAACAAAAGCCTGGGTAAAAGGTAACATGAATGAATATGTAACCACAATTCCAGATTATTAATACAAATCTTTCTTTCCTAGTTCGAAGAAGATATTGTGGATATATGCCTCAAATTACTGGACCAAAATCCCAAAAGTTTAAGAAGCGCAACTGGGGACTATGAACGAAGAAATGATGCTGTTTACATCAGCAGGGTGGTATCTAGGATGGTAAGGTTGACATTTTGACGTTGATATAAAGGGAGTGGATTGGAACTTGTGAGGAGAAATTCCACCTGTGCCTAAATTTACATTATTTGTTTAACATTTTAAATCGTTCAAAATTTGGCAAATTCTGCCATACTGCCTTAAATTGGAAAACAATTTTTTTTAGAACTACCAGTTCTTTAAAGTAAAGTGACTCAACAGTTAAGGCTAAATTCAGCAAATTTGTCAAATTCTGGTCACATTGAAACGCTACACTAAAAGAGTAAATATAATCCCAGTTGGAATTTCTCCCCAGCGATGACTTGTTTTCGACCACGTTTTAGAAACCTCCTCTGACTGTCTTTTGATAAATCCGGAGTCTAGTCTTTCAACTGGGATTTGGTTAAAAATAATTATCTAACACCAGCATTTCACAATTAAGATCTGTAATGTCTGATCTCCATCCATGTTCCGACTCTGCCCCTAATATGGAACCTGCCATAACATTTACCTCCACCACCACCCACTAATCTTGACAATTATGCACCATAGATCTATGATGTACCAGGAGACCATTCCATCGCAATTGTTTCGGTGTTTGCTCCTCCATCTCTCCTAATCCCAATTTATCTGGAGAATAGTTGGCCAAGACACCAGAAACTCCCTTTCCATAAATGTCCAGGACCTCAGTTTAACATCTCAATGAAGGACGGCACCTCATACATTGCAGCACCCCCTTGCACCACTCTGAAGTACCAACCGAGATTGACAGCTCAAAATCTCAACATCTGAAAAGCAATGATGTGGTATTTACAAGCAAGAGAATTCAACAGGGCAAATTAACAAACATGTTCTGAATTATCCCCAAATATGTTTTGACCCATTGATTGTGTCTACTTTTAAGGCTTATCCATTACTGACTTCCAGGATAATGACCCCATAATACACCCAACACAAATTTACTATCGTTTTTTCAGGTAAACAGTGCCGATGATAAAGGAATACTTTCAGGACGATGGGAAGAACCATATTATCCGGAAACAAGGCCTACACAATGGATTGGAAGTGTTGATATCCTTCGAAAGTGGTTTAGAAGTAACTGCCAGCCAGTTTGTTATGGACAGTGCTGGGTGTTTGCAGCGGTGGCTTGCACAGGTACAGAGGAGAGCGGGCAACCAGGGATCTCTTCCTTAATAAGATAAAAACGATACAATTATAAATTTCTAAATTTTGTCCATTATGACCGACAAAACATTGTTTCACCCACAATCAATATGTTGCAAAATTATTTTAATGCAACATTATTTCTGAGTGTGCAGAATCAGGCAAAATTGGTTCAATTCAGTTTTCACATGGATAATTAACTATGAAGGAAATCGAATGCAATCTTCCGGAAATGTGTTTCTCTAAATAGAAATGCAAATTGCTGAATCCATTGTAAACTCAATGAACAAGACGAGAAGAATATTTTTCCCCAACCTGTTATTCTGGAACAAAATACGATGGTTCTTTGGGGTTGAAAAGTGATGACGTGCAATTGATCTCACTAACAGAGACTCAGCGTCACCAATAACTACCTGGCAGATTATTACAGTCAACTTGAACTTCACTCCAAAGTAATGGAAGTGGATTGTTGGGTTCCTGTGGATTGGCTGAAACATATTATCGATTATACGAGTCCTGTAGCTCAGAGGTTAGAACACTCGCCTTGCAAGCAAGAGACCTGGGCTTGATTGCCACCAGGGCAAAAGCTTGGGGAAGTTTCCTTACTTCTCATGGGTGATAATACTCCCTCAAGAAAAAAAACACAATAATAAATTGGTCACTTCAATCCACGACTGTTTGTGGGATACTGCTGTGCGCGATTGACTGCCGTGTTTTGCCCACACATATACAGTCAATTCACTTTACAGTATACTCTGTGAAGCGCTTTGAGATGTCTAGAAGAAGTGAAAAGCAATATATCAAATGCAAGGATTATTATATTATTATTATTATTTTATTTACTAGCAAGATTCCCCTTCAGAGACTCTGAGACCTTTACTCACTGAAAATCACCACTTGTTTGACACCCTGATATCATATGTGTAATGATCTGTTTTTCTGTTGGTTCTTTAGTTTTGAGGTGTTTAGGAATTCCTACACGTGTGGTCACAAACTTTCAATCTGCGCATGACACCAATGGAAACTTAACCATTGACAATGTGGTTGATGAACACGGAAGAACGATTAGAAACAACAGAGATAGTATTTGGTGAGTGAAGACTCAAACCAAACTTTTATTTTCTTTGGTAGAGGGATCCAAAACCAGGGGAGTAATCTTTAAATTAGAGCTAGGGTGGTTAGTGAGAAACACTTCTTCTCACAGAGAGTTTTGGAAAATGTGCAATAGGCTGTCGCAGGAAGCTGTGGATCCAGCACTGATTGGGATGTTTGAAAGGGAGAGAGATGAATACTTGGGAAGCTTTGGTAGAAGAGGAGGGTTTTGAAACGGGTCTTGAAGGAAAAAGTTGCAGGGAACTTTTTGAGTATTTAACTGGAGAGAAGACAGGAACAGAAATGTACTCAAATAATCATCACAATACATGTTGATACGGGGAAACATTGTATTATCTATTTCCATACTTCAGGAATTTCCATGTCTGGATAGAAGCTTGGATGGCTCGAAATGATCTCAAGTCTGGTTTTGATGGATGGCAGGTGCTGGATCCAACACCACAGGAGATGAGTCAAGGTAAAGACCTCAATAGGCTTGTAGCCCAAGGCACGGATTGTCAGTAGGGTCACTTGAATTAATATATTCATATCTTTCATTTCTTACACAATTGAGGAAGAAGAATTTCAGGAAATATCACAATAACGATATAGGCAGTGATAACCCTAAAATACTAACTAGAATACTAGTTTGGATTATCAGTATTTTATTCAAACTTACTCCCAAATGCTCATCAATATATTTAGGAGGAAATATGATGCATGCAGGAGAGACAAGGGAGCAGATGGGTAAAGCAGAGGGGTTGTTTGAGTATGAGGAGTGGCACAGGCTAGTGGGGCTGAATGGCTTGTTTCCATGTGTATCATTGAATGTAATTAATCTATTTCATTGTTTTTCTTAAGGTGTCTATTGTTGTGGACCATCTCCAGTCAAAGCAATAAAAGAAAGACGACTGAATGTGAAGTTCGATGTTCCCTTCGTGTACGCAGAGGTCAATGCGGATGTGGTGGACTGGATCTTCTACAGAGATGGTAGAAAGGAAAAGACATCTCTTAATACCACAAATGTCGGCCGAAAGATCAGTACCAAGGCTGTTGGGAGTAGAGAACGTGAGGATATCACAGCAAATTACAAATACCCTGAGGGTGAGGAACAGAAATAGAACTTATTAAGGAATTGAAAAGTGCAAAGATGTTTCTTAAAATCGCAACTGTATATTAATACATTTTCACGTATAACACAAAATATCGTATTTGAAGAATATGTGGTGTAATCTTTATACAAACAAGAGAGGATTGGAGTACATTTTGATTATTTTTATGATTATTATATTTTTTCCCTTTAATTGCGAATCCTTTTAGGCTATCATACTCACTGTTTGATTCACAATATTGACGAGCTGAAGCACAAAGAATTTGTTCCAAAAGAGAAGACATTCAATTTGGCTGTGAAGACTGAAGAGTGCATCTCAGTTGGCAAAAATATTTATGCTCATGTGTACATCTACAACAAAATTGACAAGAAAATTGAATGCAATTTGAACTTCAGTGCTGAAATAATATTGTATACTGGCAAACCCATGAAGGAATGCAAGACATATAACATTAATGGAATTGTTGTTGGACCCAATGAAGGTAAGAGAGAAGGCTATTTTTTTGATTGAGACTTTGTAGAAAGATATTTTGTGGATTTTGAGTTAAAAGATTTCCAGTTCTAGTTGTTATTTTTCTTATATTTTATATCAGTTTTGTTCATAAATAAGTGAGCATTTCAAAGGTTGTCGGGGATTCTTTGTATTTTTCTGGACTCGTGTAATTTTCATCTCTATTCTTACCTGATCTTTCAGAGAAAACTGTCCCTATAGAACTGACTTACGCTGATTATGGAAAATTGCTTGTCGAACACAGTATGATCAAGTTGACAGCTGTTGGAACTGACAGAAGCACAAATGAATGTAACTTTGCCACAACAGTCATCAGTCTGCAAATTCCAAGCATTGACATTAAGGTAATCACAAGGTCACAAGAGAAGTTCGGATGAAGAAGGCTCTTCGACCCATTTGATTGCATCCTTCCAGAATACCCATCCTCCCATTACAAAGTCAAGTGTTTTTTTTAAAAAAAATGGTCAGCATCCTGGCATGTATCTGTATCTGTCCTTAAATTTCCCTTTGCAGTTCTGAATCTGTATCCTTTTCTTCTGCAACCTTGGCGAGTATGAAAATATTGCATTGCTCTGCGTTTATTTTTCTGAATCCCATTTAGCTTCTTATATACTTTTTATATAGTCCCTTCTGAGACACATCTTTTCAAGACCGAAGAGCCAAATTCAGCTTATTATGGCTTTTTGCTTTGTAGTAAATGTCTATGGTTCTTTTTCTCAAATCTCTGACCTGTAACACTCATTGTTCCTCACTTCTGATGCTTCTTGGTGCATACAGATAGCAGCAACAGCAGCAGCAACATCAACGGGCATTTATATAGTGCCCCTCCCCCTCTGTGGGAAAGCAAGGAGATAGGAACCAATCCTGCTTGGTTCAAAGTCTGTGAGCTATATCGATAAGGGCCATGCATGACCTATTCTGAACTGTATAAATGATCTGGACTTGGGTATAGCAAGTACCATTTCCAAGTTTGCGGACACCACAAAGTTAGGTAGGGTAGTAAACAATGAGGAGGATAGTAGCCAACTGCAGGAAGACAGAGAGAAAATGGTAAAATGGGCAGACATATGGCAGATGAATTTCAATGTGGAGAAATGCAAGGTAATGCATTTTGGAAGAAAGAATGAGGGGAGGCAATATGGGCTGGTAATACAATATTAAGGGGGGTGAAGGAACAGAGAGACCTGGGGGTTCTGGTAAATGAATCCTTGAAGGTGGAAGGACAGGTAAATAAAGCTGTAAAAAGGGCATATGGGATACTAGGCTTTATAAATAGGGGCATAGAGTACAAGAGTCAGGAGGTTATGATTAACCTATATAAAACACTGGTTAGGCCTCAGTTAGAATACTGCACCCAGTTCTGGGCATCACACTATAGGAAGGATATTAAGGCATTGGAAAGGGTGCAGAGGAGATTTACAAGAATGGTACCAGGAATGAGGGACCGTGATTATGAGGAAGGGCTAGAGAGGCCGGGATTATTCTCATTGGAGCAGAGAAGGTTACGAGGAGACCTAATAGAGGTCTTCAAAATCATGTGGGGGGTTGATATGTTAGAAAGGGAAAAACTGTTTCCACTGGTGGGTGTGTCGGTGACAAAGGGCACAGATTTAAAATAGTTTCTAAAAGAAGCAGAGGGGAGGTGAGAAGAAATTTTTTCATGCAGCGAGTTGTTCTAATCTGGAATGCATTGCCTGAAAGGGTGGTTGAGGCCGATTTGATAACAACTTTTAAAAACGCGGTGGACGGGTATTTGAGGAGGACAGGTTTGCAGAGCTTTGGGGAAAGGGCTGGGGAGTGGACTGACATTACATTGCTCTTTTCAAAGAGCCGGCACAGACTCGATGGGTCGAATGGCCTCTTTTTGAGCTGTACGATTCTATGATTCTATGATTCTATGATTTTAAAAGTTGTGGAAGGAAAGCATATTTCGGAAGATAATTCTTGATTCACTTTCTCAGCTCCTGGGTGAGCCAGTGCAGTATCAAAAGGTGAAAGTAGAAATCTGCATTGAGAACCCTCTGCTTGTACCTCTGAAACAAGGTGTCTTGACAGTTGGAGGACCTGGACTGATTGACGTAACCCAGATAAGGTAAATAAAAAACACAGACTAACATTGTTCAGTGTATGTAAAAAGGCTAGTCGTACCCTTCCTTCACCATCTCATCAAAAACACGGCACCTCCATCAATTCAACACCCAGTGCAATGTGTGTTAGAGTGTTGCATTATCAGAGACCCTGTCCTTCGAGTAAGACATTTAACTCTGGTCCCAACTGCCCAAAAATTTCATTACAGTACTTGAAAAAACAAAGAAGTTCCTCCTAGTGTCCTAACTGACAATCCCCCCGATACAATTAGTTATTCATGGCTGTTCATGTGACGTTGCTCTACACAAATATGGGTGCCCACAAATAAACAGACTGCAATTTGCAAGAAAATATGTGAAGCGCTTTGATACCTTTTTATGTCTCATCAAAGGCGTTCTATCCAATGCAAGCATTATTATTGAATTTGTTCCAGTTGAGCTATTTTCTTCTTTAAATTCCTTCTGCTGAACTGATGAGTTGCTTTTCTTCTTCTTTCAGAATTGATGAGATCAAAGGCCGTCACATATCAGCAGTGTTTGAAATCACCCCATGGAAATCAGGCACTAAGGAACTCTTGGTGGATTTCGATTGCGATCAAATAAAGGATGTCAAAGGATCCAAAACCATGCTGGTTAGAAGGGCTATGGTGTGCACGACTCTCCCTCTCATCTTCTAAGATAGGCTCAGCTACTCACACAGATTTATCAACATACACGTCGATTTGCTTTGATCACGCATTGTTAAATTTGGGTATTATTGCCAGGCGCTGTCTTCTGTTGGGTTATCAAGAAATGCTTTTTCTTAAAAAATGTCTATCTCACTAGGTACTCAAACTTTGAATGTTTCCTCGACTAGGGTGAGGCCATGGGTCATTTTCTGTTGATTCCACTTCTGTAATAATAATTATAATATGTATAATAATCCTTGCATTTGATTTATTGCATTATCATCTCGTGAGATGTCTGAAAGTGCTGCTGCTCCTACTCCCATCGTCTATTATATCCCTCCATTCCCTAATACTGTCTACTCATTTATTTGTCTTTTAAAATTTAAACTTAGAACCATTTAAATCTGAAACCTGAATTTCTTTTGAATGTCTTGAATGTATACATTTTTTCTCTCAATAAAATGCATTTATTGCTTGCAGCAAAGAAAGTCTTCATAAATAATCCTTTAGAACTACATTCGTCTTTATTCCACTGGACACTTTTTGCTCTTTGAGACTTGGTTGCATTGCATCATGTTTCCATCCAGGATGGAAAGCTAGCAGCTCCTTGGGCACCAAATTGTTGTATACCCACTCAGAAGTGTCTCTGGATTGTGTAAAATGCAAAAGAGGATGTTGAGGCAGGCCTTGAAGGAGTCAAGGGATGGGGCAAGGTGAAGGGACTCTGGGATGGAGTTTCAAAGTATGGGGGCAGAAAGACTGAAAGCCCGGATGCCAATGGTGGGGTGGGCTGGGCTGGGTAGGGGACATGGCGCAAGAAAGATTCAGCTGAGTGGAGGGATTAGACTGGACGATATAGAGTTAGTAGGTCACAGAAGTAGGGAGGATGGAGCCAATCAGTAGGGTCTCAGAATTGTTGGCATTCAACTGGAGAGTTAGCTCAAAGTTTCACACATCAAAGTGTTTCATAAAGCTTACCGGGAACTAGAATTGTCTGGGTGGTGGTTGGAAATGGTCTTGCCTAGAAATAGGTCTTGAGGTGAGCTTTGAAGGTGGGAGGAGGGGATGTTTGGAGCAAGGCATTGGGATTCTGGGATGAAAATCCAGAGATCCAGAGATCAGGCAGAATGCTGAAAGCTCGTCCATAGGAGTCCTGCAGCTTAATGGTTAGGGCACTCACCTCGCAAGCGAGAGGACCTGGGTTTGATAAAACAGGGCGAAACATTGGGCAAGTTTCATTACTCCACACACCTTTGTTTACGTAGCAGTTAGTAGGAACCCAATTGTTAGTCAATTGGCGGATTGCTTTTCTGGGGGTATCATACCCATCCCCCTAAAAACAGCCGTCATCACCCCTACCCTCAAAAACCTTTCCCTTGACCCATCTCTGTTTTGCAACTACCACCGCATTTCAAACCTTCCTTTTCTATCAAAGGTCATGGAATGAGTCATCGCTTCCCAGTTTTGCTCTTTCCTCTCCCAGCATTCCCTCCAATCTGGGTTTTGTGCTACTCACTGAACAGAGACAGCCCTGGTCAAACAACATTCTGTTCACCCACTATTAGGACTTTGCTGTGCGCAAATAGGCTGCCACATTTGCCTAACAGTGCAGTCACTTACACTATATGCTGTGAAGCACCTAAGGATTATTATTGAAAATGAGTTGGTTGGGCTGTTAAATTGCCAATCAGGTTAATGTAAAGTGAATAAAGTGGGCTGTGGAATAAGCAAAATGAATATGAGTTCCGTGAAATAAGCCTACAGGGTGAAGTTCTGGACGTTGCTTTCTGTTAGCTCAATAAAATCAACACAGTTGCTAGAGCAGAAAGGAAGCAACCGTGACCCTCATTTGTCAGCAGCTAAAAGCAGCCATCTTTTTTATAGTGTGTTCACAATGAAATTCCCTATTGCTAAAGGGTGTGCAGATAAAGCATCAGTCACAGGAAAGGCTTGTTAAGTACAATGGCACATAATTCATAATTATTTATTTCAATTGTATGTTATGAAATTCAAGAATCAGCATTATAATGAGAACCCACAAAATCAATGCTGACAATCCCGACCTAAAACAGTCCAAAAAAGGGCAAATTTATTGATTAAGGAAGATAAGCGTGGTAAGAAATTATTGAATACATTTTAACATCTGGCTAGGAAAAGTTAGGCTAATAGCAAATTTCCAATATAAAATGGGAGGACAATCCTCTGGATGAGTACAATCAATGATAATTTTACCTCTGGTTTCATCTTTATGCCCTCTTAAAAAAGTTGAGTTTTGCTAATCCATAATAATAACAACAATCCTTGAATTTGATACCCACAATGGCACATTCTTTATTACCATTAAGTGCTTTGACTGTATATCAGTCGGTAAAATGAAATAGTCAATTTCTGCACAACAATAAAAATAAATAATCCTTGCACATGATATAATATGTTATCAAGAGGAGAGGATGTTTCAAAATGCTTCACAGGTCCCACTGGAAAATAATAATAATCCTTGCATTTGATATAGCTCCTTATCACGTCTTTGAAATATCTCTAAGTGTTTCCCAGAATATTCATAGGATGGAAAAATATGTGCCAATGTGTTACTATTACCCATGATAATTATCACATTAATCAAAACAATGCAGTGGAAAGCAGTCAATGGTTAGCACTGTCCTCTGGTGAGACCCTCATATTAGACATTATTGGCAACAGATGCTTTCCTCTTAAAGCCTCAAAGCCCTTTTTAATACAGTTATGTTTGGCACATATTTTGGTTTCAGGATAAGCCCTGTCCCCACCAGTGACCACGTTCTGGTTACAATCTGCACTCCTCAAGCTGTAAATATCTGAACCTGTTATAGGATGGTCGACTCAATATCTTCAAGGCAAACTCATAACCAACATGAACTCATATATTTTGCCTCTGAATATACTCAACAATGGGACAGAAAAGGAAATTTGTTTCGGGAATTGTTGGCCAGGATATTGGGAGAAACTCCCTTCTCTTTCAAATAGTGCCATTGGATCTTTAACATCCATCTGCACAGGCAGATGAGACCTTAGTTTAATGCTTCATCCAAAAGACAGCACCTCCAACAAAGTAACATTCCCCCAGCACTGCACAGGAGTGTCGGCATAGACGATGTGAGGTCAAGTCCTGATGTAGGATTTGAACCCACAATCTTCTGTCTCAGAGGCGAGAATGCTGCCACCGAGCCAAAGCTGACACACATATATATTTTCATTAACACAAACTGCAATTCTGACACAGAATATAAATTGGAGATACAAGCAATGGTACAGCATGAAAACAGACCATTTAGCTCAACAAATCTGTGACAGTGTTCAACACCCCACACCAGCCTCCACCCTTCCTAGTATCGTCTTCCATTCCCCGCAGGTCCCTTCTGTGCATCAAGTTTCCATTTATTTAATCTTAAATCGTACCATATCTGGTCACCTGTATGCCACAGTTGTGTTCCATTTTCATCGTAGTAGGTCTTGATACATAAATTCTTATCGGTGTCATGTGCAGAACTAAAGTTTGTGACAAGACGGGAAGGAATTCCTAAACACTGTAGAACTAAAGAAATAGAGAAAATATATGATTTTATATAGATGTATAATGTATATATATATATAAATAAAATCTATAAAATCAACCCTCAGCATTCACCTCCTGCTCGGGTGACCAGCCAACATTATCAATTGCTCATGTCCTCCCAACGTAAAAGACACTGTATAAATGTGAAGTTGTACTTCATTATATTGTCTAATCTCTAAAAGTATCTAAAATATTGCTAAAATTATCCATATATAATATATAGTTGTTGTTGAAGACATATGTATAATATATATATATGTCTTCAACAACCGGTTACTGAATGGAGGTAGCTCCCTGAAAACATTGACTATATAATAATAAGATTTATATATCCCTCCATAATATATAGATTTACTGTACATTTTAAGCATTATGAAAGAATAAGAAATCAGATAAGGTTTTTGGGAAGATACACTATTTGTTCAGTATTTTATTACTTGGAGAAGCTTAGAGAAGCCTTAGAGAAGGTTCATCTCCTTAAAAAACTCACAACATTCTTTACAAAGCTATTAACAACAACAACAACAAAATTAAATTTGTATAGTGCCTTTCAGTTGGGTGGATGTCCCAAGGTGCTGGACAGTGAGTGTTTCGGACCCAGATGGTGGTCGGGATTGGGGAGAGTGGCAGGTGAAGAGCAGGGGGGAACAACAACAACAACTTGGATTTATATAGCGCCCCCCACGCCGGATGGCGTCTGAAAGCGCTTAAAGAAGAAGAGAAGGAGGGTGATCGAAAGCACGGTCAAAGAGGAGGGTCTTGAGATGGGTCTTGAAGGAGGCAAGGGAGGGGGCAAGGTGGAGGTACTGCAAGATGGAGTTCCAGAAGTTGGGAGCAGAGTGGCTGAAGGTATGGTTGAAGGTACAAATGTAGGGGGGAGCGAGGCCATGGAGGGCTTTGAAGGTGAGGAGCAGAATCTTGACCTGTATCCTCTGTGTGTTAGGAAGGCAGTGGAGTCGGCACAGAGCCTCAGTTCCATTTGCCAACACAATATGTTGCATTTTCCACCCTTATATTTCTGCATGAGATCCCTATTGCCCTCTCTCCTCTGTACCTGTACAGGTCACTGCAGCAAACACTGTCCGTAACGAATGGGCTTAAAACCACATTTAACCCAATCGCGAAGAATTTTAGGGCTTCCAATCCATTTTGATGGGTATAATCCATCGGAATAAATACCATCTGATCTTCCTTCAAGCACATCAATACCATTGTGACTGTTCACCTTGAAGAGTTGCAAAGCAAATCTGTATTACCCTATTTGTGACGTCAAGACAGCGATAAAGAAGACTGACATGCAAATGATTCCTCAAATCTATGATACTATTTGTATGGTCAGTAGAACCTCCCTATGAAGTTTTCACATGAATAGCTACTAACCATGCTTTCATCACTATTATCATTGCTATTTCACTACCTACCATAGATGACACCAGTCTACTGATATAGATGGGGTGATTTCTTTGACTTTGATCTTCCAGTAGATTTTTCCTATAATGCAATCTGTTATTCAATAGCTTGAAGCAATTGTCCACAATACCTTCATCAAACTGGAAAAGAAAGTCAAACATTTTTATTGCTTCTTGTACCCTGACATATTATTAGTAATAATATCAGTAGTTATTAGTCATGTCATTTTACTAGCAATAATATAATAATATTACTGATAATATTAAATTATCAATAATAGTGTTACTGATAATATTACATTACCAATAATGAAACTGTAACATCTTGGTCAATATGGCTCAACTGCATTAACTTGCTGAATTATTTAAACCATAGGACTCTGAGGAAATTGCACAGATGCAAAAGGAAAAAGAATAGTTAAGGTTTAACTTGAAGAATAATGCATGAGAAACTACACTCCAGGTTGCACTTGAACTGCACTG